CAACGATAATTCGACTGAAATCAGAATTTGCAAGCGTTTATTTATGCCGATAGTCTCAAGTGCGTTTACTTATATTCTAAGGATACCGCAAATGTTTGCGTTGAAAAAATTAATGACGAATTAGTGCGTTTATAGAAATGGAGTTCAACATAGCAGATAAGGTTTTCATCGTCTAAGTGTATTTTTATGTCTTTTGGTTCTGCCAAACTTCCTGGTCCCATAAGATTTCAGAACAACCCACTCCCCGAACGCTTCGCCATAAAGGGCCTATTAGCTTGCCTTATGACCTCATTGAGACAGAATCTCTGCTAAAGCTGCGCAGATATGTGGGTTCATATCACAAGATCTTTTCTTTCTGGAAATGATGCCAAAATTTTATCAGACGTTGGTTCTTCCCGCCCTCGAGTACTGCTGTACTTTCTTTGGCTTAATGAATGCCTGTGACAGTAACAAAATCCAAAATGTTTAGAGATCTTTTACTTAAAAGCTCCTCTCTTGATCTGCATCCGGTATTTCGTATAACAAGAGATGTCAACTAGCGGACAATAAGTTTCTGTTAGTTAGAAGACTCGAGGCTGGCCTGTGCTTTTATCTGGCTCTAAGCTGCCGCGCATTGGTATTACCACTCCGAGAGATCGGAAATTAGGGCGCATTTAATTCCCCCATCATGCTTCCGCCGCTTCTCTGCACTACATCTAAATGCTCCTTCTTCTTTGCACCCAAATATGCCTTCCTTTTGAATGATCTTTCAATAGAACTTAAGTCGTCGCCTAAATCATAGGTGTTCAAATCGAAATTACGCTAGCACCTTGCACCGGAAAGCATAAAGTCTTTATTGACCGTTTCATTCCCGAGCACTAAATTTCCGGACATTAAAAAGAGGCCTCCTGGTATTTAATGGCGCAGCAGATGTTCTGGCTCATGGAATGTTAGCCGAAATCCTTAAATGCGTTTTCGAGTCGAAGAGACTACTTACGTACGGTTGTAGCATTAACCACCGGCCGCATACTCTCAAGATATTTCAGTTACTTCAGGATGCCAGCTATTGAACGAACCTCTCTTCGGGCGCCTGCAAAAATTATACTCTGTAAAAATTACTCTTTAAACAATACGCATTTTCCTCATTGATTTTCGAGGCTCATATATATTAAGGTATATTTCATAGAAAACATGCATAAATATTCCTTCTTTTATTCATTAGGCCCTCTGTAAATTTTGTACTTCAAGAAACGGTGTAATTCTGTGTTACAACACTTTTCTAGTTCCCGAATAATTTTTAGTCTGATTTGCCGTTACACTTGCATTCAGGGTTTCCAAACTACAAGCCGTATATTTGCTGTTTACGGAATTTCATACATTTCCATACGCCACTAAACGGAAACCATATTTGCTTCATACAATTGAGCAGTGAATATGGGCCATACTGTAAGCTTTACAAGCAACATCAGTCAATACAGAGACAAGATACTGTATGAACAGGCATTTTATTGTCTTGAAAAACCTCGTAATCAGAAACTTTTTAAGACCGAATTAAACCCTTTCTTCAGGTATAAAATTCATAAATCGTAGTTTTCTAACAAATGCGTAGACGAAAGAATATTTTAATGCATTTTTTATATTAAATATACTTGAATATATAAGGGTATCGGGTAAGATGTGGCTACGTAACCCCACCTGATGAAGACAATACTGTTGAGGTTATGGTTAGGGGTAGGAGATAGGGGTTAGCAGTCAGTGTTCGGGATTAGGTAAAACACTTCTTAACCACTTAAAATGTAATCGGGCATTCCCAATATGTGTTCGTTTGCTTACAACTACTTGACCTCGTCGCCTGTGCGTTCCAACGCTCCCTTATTGCAGGTGGTTGGGGATTGTTTACCTCAGGTGGGAAAACACAACCAAATCTGAAAAATTCGAACTGATTAAAGTGTTTTTTATATAGTGTAGTTTTTGCAGGCGGCCGAAGAAAAGTTCGTCCAAGAGCTGGCATCCTGAAGTAACTGAAATATCTTGCGAGTATACGGCACGGCGACTACCGTTACAGCCCTACTTAAGTAGTCTTTTCGAGTCGACAACGCATTTCCGAATTTAGGCTAACGGTTCCTGAGTTAGCATATCTAGTGCAGATCGAAAGTGTTTTACTTGTTCAGACGGAAACCCCAATTATATTTTTACAGCGGCCTGTTTTTAACTGGCTACTAGCCTTACTGTTATTACTCCTCCCCTGCAGCAGTGATTTTCGCAGTTCTTGATGTCATCTCCTCGTTCCAACCCCAAGCGATCTGCTGACGATCATGACGGAATCTCCAGTTTTCACCATCTGGTAGTAATCTGGTGGGTCATGGCTGCATCTCCCCACGCCTTGATGGCCACTGCGATCTCTAAAGTCCCCCGTGGCTGGACTCAAGGCATACTGACAGATCACGTTTTGGTTTCTCTCGTTTCTCCACCTTGGAGGTTGCCCCATGTTGTCGGCGCAAAACATTACGATCGCATCTGCTGCGAATAGACTGATCTAGGTTAGGAATTCCACCTTGACGATATTCGCTTCGAATCCTTATTCATTACTACATGCAAGACAGTTCTACACTACCCGAATATTTACTTTTCCATGAGTGGCAGTTTTTTTCCTTTAAAAACTAATCAAATCTCATTCATTTTGAATTTTTCGAAAAATGGTCTTTTTTCGCCTTGCGCTAGAAATTTTTCATACTAGACTGCCTATTCTATAAGCGCGAACTGATAACTGTACAGCGTCTGCCTACTTGTTCTAAAATTTACGTAAAAGTTTATATTTGCTCGCTAAGACAATACCTCTGGGGATACTATTAAAACAGTAAATTTTTTTATTAAAATACGTTCAATTAGGCATACAGAACAATAGTTAGTTCTTTAGCTTCGGACAATCAGTATTTCCTGACACCAAGCGCCTTCGTCTGCGTTCGCATGAGAGCTGTTCCAAATTGGCCAAAAGAAGACTACTGCTTTCTTTTTTTCACCAATATTTTTATTTCCGTAACTTTCCTCGCGACATCAAGGATTTACCTGTCGAACTGTAGTTTTGAAATCTGAAGGTGTAGGTAAGGATTAAAGTTTGAGAACAGGGCGTAAGTGGAAAATAGTTTACGTCATATCGAGATAGATTTATGAAGTCAGTGAAAGCTACCGCGTCAACTATCGGCCGTACACTGCTGAGTTCCCGCATTCAAAGCCCTAAGGGAGAATAAACCTTTCTCAGTGAAACGAGGGTCAAGGTCATTAAAAACCGAAATTTCTAGGGGCAAATTGATCGCTAGTCCTTATATCACGGTCTACGTTGACTAAAGAGGAGAATATTTTCGCCTGATGTTGCGAGAACGTAACCCCATAGCTCAAGTCAGAATGCGATCGATCCCAAAAAGGTTGATCAACCCACTGCCCTGCGTCCACATCCCAGAATTCTCTAATGGGTTTTCGGCATTACTGAATGAGGACAGAAAATAAATCGGGACGAAACCATTCCAGTCATCATCATCATCATCATCATCATCATCATCATCATCATCATCATCATCATCATCATCATCATCATCATCATCATCATCATCATCACCACCACCACCACCACCACCACCACCACCACCACCACCATCATCATCATCATCACCACCGTCATCATCATCATCCTTGTTTCTTGCATTTAACAATTATGTGAACTTGATTGTCATACGTAGAGTTATTTCTTTTTATGTAGGGAAACAATTTTTATACTAAACTTGCGCGTTTGCAACAAAGTGGCCTTCTCGGCGAAACCCGATAAGGGTGGCACTTATTTCAAAACTTTTGTTCTGACTAGCTGTTGGCAGACTCGAAAATAAGGTAAAATGAAATGCGTCTGCATTACGGCATGGTCTTGACTTTCCGCGGTAACAATGATGTCTACTGTGCACATTCGACTGCGTGATCGGAAGTTGTTCCTTATTAATATACATAAAGGGTCCATGCATTAATGTCGGTTTGCGAGTGATAAGTAATCGTTCGTTAACTTCGACACCTTTCATCCGTTAGGTCACGTACTGTATGTCTGGCCGAACAATCGAGTCGGACGAAGCAACTCTGATCGCAGTCGGGATATTACGAGTTACAGATTTTGCGTTGGGGTACTTAAATTAATTTAATCCCACAGCTTCTGAGCTAAACTTTTTTACGAAGTCCTCCAAAAGTTGGTTTGGGGTATGGCTGTCTAAAGCGACCAAATAGGCAAGAAATTATTCTGGCGGGTTGTTTATCGAGAACCGAGATAAGGCTAGACCGCGTTTACAGAACTTGTCGGTATGCAGCAGCAAATGAGTTAAAATGAAGAGTGTCCCAAGGGAGTGGCTCTAGTTTGGAAAGCGGACGGAGGCGGAGAGCGTTCCGTTTTACTTCTTATTCCATTCTAATTACTTCGTTATTAACCCATTACTCCCTGGGGTTGGAGTACTGCTGACCAACGGTAGCTACTAGGCCAGAAAGTGCTGTTACCTATGATGAAGGGAGCACACGGAATCAGGCCGAATATTAAGAGTGAAGTTGCATGAAACTAATTAGCGCTCCACTGGCAGCCAGTCTTCTTCGTGGTATGCTGCTAATTTATTTGCATGAGAAAAAGCCCATGACGATCTGTATGGTGCGAATTACATGGGAACCATCTTCTAGGCCTCAAAGCTTTTAAGACAACAGCGGTGCGGGGTTGACAACCGGAGACGTAGAGAGACTAAGACCTACGTTGGACTCAGTTGTCTTTGTTGTCTAGCTCTGTTGTTGCTGGCTTGTTCACTTCGAGGTCTGGCAGACTGTCGACTGTTCGTTAAATCTGCCATTCGATTCTGAGGTTATCTGCTTGATGTTGTCTTTTTGCGTGAAAATGCGAATACATGATGACACTTGGAAAACGCTCTTCGCATAGTAACAGCTCGAACCTAAGCTCCTTTCCGAACTACCAAAATAACAGCATCGTAGAACAGTGGCAAAGCATAAAGCCATAGGAATAAACACGGTACGGCAAATTGAACGTGTGTCGACGTTGAGCTCGACTAAAAATGAGTATTTATAGGCAGATTTTAATATCAAGAATCCCAGATGAGTGAAATATCACCGAGTTAAAGGATAGACCATACGGCAGCTCCGTTTTATTGAGTTTAAAATTTTTAGGGTAAGGAAATGAGATGCAGAATTTCAACTCCTCATTTTTCCCTCAAAGGATTAATGACTTTGAAATGTTTAGTCCCAGTCGAACTCTGCTCCGCCCTGCGTTCAGTGTGGTACTGCCAAGCAGCACTAAGCCCCCTCTTTTAGATTGCCTACTATAATTCCCGTGGATGCAAACCCGAAGCAGCCACCCCTCCCGCCAGTTGTTGCGTGTTTGCTGAAAAAAGAACTACGCCCAGGACTTTTCAGCAAGGATTCGCAGTTGTTACTTGAAGCCCCCCCCCCCTCCTTTCATTCCCAGATCGGTCGAAATCATTTGTCCTAATTTCTCGTCTGAAATGCGAAGTAAAATGATATAAATTTGTTTTCGTCAACCAACTCTATTCTGATCGTGACATAAAGAGAGGGAAAAAGGGCTAGACTTCTTTCATAGTTAATTGTTTTGTTCAGGATTGTAGCCGTCAGTCTCGAGAGCTTGTGACGTTAGAGGTAGACAGGCCCCGCTGCCCATGACTAAGGACGCGTTTTTCAATTGACATCTGGCACAAGTAAAATGAGGTTATGTGCGTTCTTAAGGGCTTTCAAACTGTTACGCGTTAAGCAGACCATTCTCATGGAAAGCGAAAGGGACAAATTTAGTTGAATCGTTAACTATGGAGGTTTTTCCATCGAAGTATATCAAGATAGCTTCTCAAACAGCTGTGAAGCTTGTAAATGGAAAAGCCTCCACAACAGCAGGTACTGCATTGGGACTGTCACGTTTGCTGAACACTGTTCCCGACGTGGGCGTTCGAATGTCGTTTCCGACTATGTCCACAGTGACTTGCACGATGTAGTCGCCAACAGACAAGTAATTTTTGGTTGGACAACTGTTTACGATTAATTGAAGGGCGAAAATCAATACTTATACATAAAAATGTCTATTCTAAACATACAAGAATTTAGACAGTGGGTTATATCAATCTTGCGCTCCTGTAATAACGAAGATTTACTCAAAAAGTTAAAGTCAGAAAAGGGGAATCCAGCTGTATCTAATCATAATCCGAATAAATCTGTTGCCTAAGGCGATACAGACACATCAAAGAGCTTTAATACCTTGACAGTTTACAAGCAAATCATCGAGCCAATGGGAGCGCCTGAATGACGTGAAAGTGTTCCTTGCGGATTTTGAGTCAACCTTGATAACCCATGTTCCCGTCCTATGGATTTAACCAAACTAGGATGGACGAAGCCAGGACTCCGTCTGCGGAGTCATTCGTCTTTTATTTTTTGCGTAAATGATTAACAAAATTGCACATCTTTGTGACACACTCGGCGCAGGTATGTCTCTTTCTTACGTCATCCCGTAGAAACAGTTTTGCAGGGAAAATACTTTCATTTGCTTCCAGAAGACTGGGATTGACTGGGATACCTGCTGACATCCCAGTCGTTGGCTCAGTCTCCCTCATTAATAGGGATGGGGTTCCAAAAGGTGCTCTAATCAACTCCGGTCCTTCAAACACAATTAGTGGCAACTACCCTACTCATACAATGGCTCCTACAGAATGGTTTAGGCTACGTTTAGGTATTATTTACCAGTTGGGCTAAAAACAAGCGACGAACGACCCATCGGACTGGGCCATGGCTCCGTTTATCGCAGTTTGGACAAGCTCAAAGGACGGAGGACGAAGTCCAAGCATATGAACCAGAAAGCTTTATTGTAGGCCGTTTTTGTTGGCCTGGCTCTTTCAGAGAATATCGCTGACTGGACCTTATCTGTAAACTAAACTTCAAACCTTTTCTCCTTAGAATGACAAACATTTTTTATACTAGATGTGCTGGACTATCTGAACGAATTTGAAATGGCTGCAGCGGAGAATGTGCTTGGTCAAATTCAGTCTGTTGCGCATGCTCTAGGTGTCTCAGGAGGTTACAAGTGGCGAATAAGAAATGCTAAATCAAGAAAGACTGGAAGTGGAATGGTGAGTCATCCCCAGCTGGACAACACGTAAGAACCAGTCTAGACGATCAAAAACCTGGGTTCCAGCCAGGTTTTTCGAGGAAAACTGTATCATAAAAGTTTGCTGTCGGGAGGAGGGCCGAGAGATAAAAGACACTGCGTTTGTCTACCCGCTGACCGCGTAGGGTCCTACGGGTGGACGCTAGCGGCACAGTCTTAAGTCAGGGCCATTGTCAAAGGACAGGCTGCGGGGTCTGCTGTGACAACAGCGGCAGCATTAACAAATGAAGGATATCATGGGTAAACAAACTAAAATCCATATTTAAAACTGCTAATTTGATTGAAAGTTCCGCAGCATGGCGATTACGGATCTTCAGCAAATAATATACTGTCATATC